CTTAAGCTGATCCAAACATAACTTAACCAATTGAAACTAATTAACCAATACAAACTTAGCCAACTTAAGCTGATCCAAACATAACTTGACCATTTGAAACTAATTAACCAATACAAACTTAGCCAACTTAAGCTGATCCAAACATAACTTGACCATTTGAAACTAATTAACCAATACAAACTTAGCCAACTTAATCTGATCCAAACATAACTTAACCAATACAAACTAATTAACCAATACAAACTTAGCCACTTTAAGCTGATCCAAACATAACTTAACCAATTTAAACTAATTAAACAATCCAAGCTAATTAACCAATCTGTGCTGTTCCAAACAACTTAAACAATCCTAGCTAATAAACCAATCCAAGCCAAATTAATATTTATATTGTTCTAGGAGCACCTGGCGAAGCATGCTGGAGATAAACCCTATAAATGTGAGGTGTGTCCTAAGCAGTTTAACCATAAGACTGATCTAAGACGACATATGTGTCTTCACACCGGAGAGAAACCGTTCACCTGTGATGTCTGCGGAAAAGGATTTATCCGCGAGGACCGAATGGTGAAACACTCAGACACTCATAAGAAGAAGGCGGCGCATGTATCCGGCGGAATCATGTGACAGGGGGCGGAGATGTTTTGGTCCTCCCATAATATGGTTTAGTAGAACCTTGAACATAGCAGAGGCAATAACGTAGTACAAGCAACCTTACTTCAACTAGGAACTTTGAAAGTGATCTCTCAAGATGCCATATCTTCTCTCAGATACTATTTTCAATATATTTCAGTCTCCAGACCTAGAAGTTACCTTCATATTAACTGTGTATTGTTCCGTATATAAATTATGAATCTCAACGATGACCCGACTCCGGTGGAACTAAAAGTGCCGTTTTATACATTGCAAGCAATAATAATATCCCTGCCTCAGATCATGCTGGGTCATTCTGCAGCTGTGAGAATTAAACTAAATTTGCAATAATGAGCGTAGACGTGTGAATATACCTTGCATAGTGATATTCTTGTTTAAGTATGAAATGTGGATATTATATAAGAATAATGTGCCAAAATATGAATTTTATGTTCAGAATTAGATTCACTTATATTTTGTTTTTCCTGTAGCCATTTTATTAATTAACGATGATGAAGAAATATTTAAATAAATGCCGAGGAAAACTGGAGATTTTTCTTTTATTTCTGAGATCTAGACAGATTATTTAGAATTTAAAGTTTTTAAATATTTTGTTTGCGTGAATGTGATTTAAAGATGGGAGATTTGTGTTTCATTTCTGAGAGTTAATCATATATTGTAGGATTTTAAGTTATGAATATTTTTTTTTTCATTTCTAAGATGTTAGTCAGATTTTTAGAATTTCAAGGTTTTGAGTGGAGATTTTTGTTTCATTTCTAAGATTTAGTCAGATTTTTTAGATTTTCAAGGTTATAATATTTTGTCTGGGTTAATGGGAACATTTTTGTTGCATTTCCGAGATTTAGTCAGGTTTTTTAGAATTTCAAGGCTATAATATTTTGTCTGGGTTAATGTGAATATTTTTGTTGCATTTCCGAGATTTAGTCAGGTTTTCAAGTTTTGAATTATATGTACACGTAAATGTGAATGTTGGAGTTTGGAGATTTTTATTTCATTTCTGAAATTAAGTTCGGAAGATTTAATCAGATTTTTTAAGAATTTAAGTTTTGAACATTTTGTCTGCGTAAATGTGGAATGTGTCAATAACTAGCCGGGGTTAAATTTATATTGTAGAAGCACACTGTAGGGATGTTTACTTTTAAAAAGTACTCCTAATACAACAAATTCTGGAATTGAGAACAAAACTATGATTGTATTATATCCGTCCTACGATACTTCGGACCTACCCGCACGTGGTTTTTCAGCAGCTTCAAGCTGCTGGTCTGATGTATACACACTTCATTGAAAAAAGTCAATGTATCCGACCTACTGTACAGGTCGCTTGCACAGCTGAGATGTGTTACTAATTCCAGAAATTATGATATTTTGATACAATGTTGGGAGTTTCTAGTTGGTGATATCATCTGTCCTTTGCGATTAAATGTGTCGAAAAGGTACTGTTAGCGAAATTTTAAGTCAACCTCCATGCAAAGATGACTATGTATATGAAGGTGTTAACTGTTTATGTGTATAAGAAGGTGTTTAAATGAGTATTTATGTGTATATAATGTGTTTGACTGTGTATATAAAGGTGTTTATGTGTATATAAATGTGCTTTGGGATATATGAAGGTGTTATGGGATATATGAAGGTGTTTTGGGGTATATGAAGATGTGTATGTGTATATGAAGGTGTTTATTTGTATATGAAGGTGTTTATGTATGTATGAAGGTGTTTAACTGTGTATATGAAGGTGTTTATGTGAATATAAAGGCGTTTATTTGTATAAAAAAGGCGTTTATGTGTATAAAAAGGTGTTTATGTGTATATGAAGGTGTTTATGTGTATATGAAGGTGTTTATGTGTATATGAAGGTGTTTATGTGTNTATTTATATATATATTTAGTGAGTATATTAGTACTCAGAGTAGTGAGGGGGGGGGGTCCAAATCACTAACTCTAATTTTATATGACAAAATTAGAATTTTCATATTTTTTAGTTTTGCTGTCCTGCACTTTTTGAATCATGAAATGTAGAAGGTCCATGCTTTTTAATTTAAAGAGAGTTCCTCAGTCTAGTTTGTTCTTTTCCAGGATATATGTTCATAAGATCAAGTTAGATAACGTAAATAATATGTAAATTATAAGATCAAGTTAGATAAAGTAAATTATATGTAAATTATAAGATCAAGTTATAGGTAAAGTAAATTATATGTAGATTATAAGATCAAGTTATAGGTAAAGTAAATTATATGTAAATTATAAGATCAAGTTAGATAAAGTAAATAATATGTAAATTATAAGATCAAGTTAGATAACGTAAATAATATGTAAATTATAAGATCAAGTTAGATGAAGTAAATTATATGTAGATTATAAGATCAAGTTATAGGTAAAGTAAATTATATGTAAATTATAAAATCAAGTTAGATAAAGTAAATTATATGTAAATTATAAGATCAAGTTAGATAAAGTAAATTATATGTAAATTATAAGATCAAGTTAGATAAAGTAAATAATATGTAAATTATAAGATCAAGTTATAGATGAAGTAAATTATATGTAAATTATAAGATCAAGTTAGATAAAGTAAATTATATGTAAATTATAAGACCGAAATGTAAAGACTTTAAGACGATAAGTTCTTTAAAGTTGTTTTTGGTGTTTTTTTTTCAGGGTTGATGGTTATTTAATCGGTGATGATTTCTTTCACTTCTTTATCTAAAGCTTTTTCCAGTAAAGACAGTTCTTTGTTGGTTCCTATAAGATGTTGATACTTTTTTTACCCGATACAAAAAGAATTGTTATTTTGCAGTTTAGTTCCCCTGGATGCTTTGAGTTTAAAATCTATCTTCAAGAATTATAATAATCGATAATGTATTGAGATATAGGGGTGAAACCAATACAGCAAACACAAGGAGAATATGAGGAGTTGGAAGGGAAGCATTGCTTTTCTTATACTAGATACAGAGTATACACAGATACACACCTTTACTTATATTAGATACAGAGTATACACAGATACACACCTTTACTTATATTAGATAAAGAGTATACACAGATACACACCTTTACTTATATTAGATACAGAGTATACACAGATACACACCTTTTTTTTAATATTAGATACAGAGTATTCGGAGATACACACCTTTTCTTATATTAGATACAGAGTATACGGAGATATACACCTTTTCTTATATTAGATACAGAGTATAAAGAGATACACACCTTTTCTTCTACTAGATACAGAGTATACACAGATACACACCTTTTCTTATGTTAGATACAGAGTATACACAGATACACACCCTTTCTTATGTTAGATTCAGAGTATACACAGACACCTTTTCTTATATTAAACACAGAGTATACGGAGATACACACCTTCTTATACTAGATACAGAGTATACACAGATACACACCTTTTCTTATGTTAGATACAGAGTATACACAGATACACACCCTTTCTTATATTAGATACAGAGTATACGAAGATACACACCTTTTCTTATATTAGATACAAAGTATACAGAGATACACACCTTTTCTTATGTTAGATACAGAGTATACACAGATACACACCTTTTCTTATATTATATACAGAGTATTCGGAGATACACACCTTTTCTTATACTATATACAGAGTTTACACAGACACCTTTTCTTATATTAGATACAGAGTTTACGGAGATACACACCTTCTTATACTAGATACAGAGTATACACAGATACACACCTTTTCTTATGTTAGATACAGAGTATACACAGATACACACCTTTACTTATATTAGATACAGAGTATACAGAGATACACACCTTTACTTATATTAGATACAAAGTATACGGAGATACACATCTTTTCTTATATTAGATACAGAGTATACACAGATACACACCTTTTCTTATATTAGATACAAAATATATACAGATACACAACTTGTCTAATATTAGATACAGAGTATAAAGAGATACGCACATTTTTTATTTTAGACACAGAGTATATACGGATTCACACCATTTCTTATAATTAGTATTGTTAGTATTTTTCTCAGTTTTGAGCAACTATCTTCTCAGTTTTAAGCAAGCATTTCTCTCAGTTTTGAGCAAGTGTTTTTCTCAGTTTTAATCAAGCATTTTTCTCAGTTTTGAGCAAGCATTTTTCTCAGTTTTGAGCAACTATCTTCTCAGTTTAAGCAAGCATTTTTCTCAGTTTTGAGCAAGTGTTTTCTCAGTTTTAAGCAAGCATTTTTTTCAGTTTTGAGCAAGCATTTTTCTCAGTTTTGACCAAGCATTTTTCTCAGTTTTGAGCAACTATCTTCTCAGTTTTGAGCAAGCATATTTCTAAGTTTTGAGCAAGCATTTTCTAAGTTTTGAGCAACTATCTTCTAAGTTTCGAGTAAAGACTTGCATTTCTTGGGATCGTAGGGATTATCTTTTAAGTTTTGAGTATAGATCTACTTGATTTTATGTTTAAATATATGGGTACTAAAACATCTGATAGGAACTATATATATTTTTATACCAATTCTACTGCACGTATCCCCCGGTATACGCGGGGTCAATTGAGTAGGATGAAAGGTATGGGAGTAAGGAGAGGTTTCGTGATATCCATCCAAGCTAGTAGTAGGGTAATCTTTCAGGTTTAGCCCTAGATATATTTATCTAGGGTTGTAGGGTACTTTGACTCTAAACTGCAAATTTTCTATTAAAGTTTTTATCTGGCTTTCAAATTTTCGAAGTAAGAAAAATTTTTCTGATGGTAAATGTTTTTGAAAATTTACTTTCTTTCGTAAAAAAATGTCTGCTTGTGAATGATAACATTATTACCTTAAGGGTAAGGTATTTTACGCGTAAAGTTCGGATTTTTAATCCATCTATTCATATTCAGATCTTAAATACATCTTCTATTTAGATCTTTAATCTATCTATCATTTTGTTCAGATCTTTACTTCATCACTCTTCTAATTAGATCTTTAATCTATCTATCTTCTATTTAGATCTTTAATCTATCTATCTTCTATTCAGATCTTTAATTTATATATTCATATTCAGATTTTTAATTTATTAATCTTCTATTTAGATCTTTAATCTATCAATCTTCAATTCAGATCTTTGTTCCATCTATCTTCCATTCAGATCTTTTAATCCATCTATCTTCTATTCAGATCTTTAATCCATCTACCTTTTATTTAGTTCTTTAATCCATCTATCTCCTATTTAGATTTTTAATCCCCCTATCTTCTATTTAGATCTTTAATTCATTGATCTTGTATCTAGATCTTTAATCCATCTATCTCCTATTTATATCTTTAATCTATCAATCTTCTATTTAGATCTTTAATTCATTTATCTTGTATCTTGATCTTTAATCCATCCATCTTCTATTTAGATCTTTAATCTATAAATCTTTTATTCAGATCTTTAATCCATCTATCTTTTATTCAGATCTTTAATCCATCTATCTTCTATTCAGATCTTTAATCAATCTATCTTCTAATTAGATCTTTAA